GTTCTTTTTTTCTTGCTAGAGTAAGAGAAGGATACACCCAACCACAGAGGACGCTATAGTACATTCAGTGCACATTGGTCTTGTTTATTTTTGAGTGCTGAAGAAAAGATTCCCCTCCAATGTATGAATTTAATAATGTAGGGATGAGACAGCACGGAGAAAGAATGTGGTCTTTCCCTTTCTTGATCTTGTAGACTACACGCAGCAGTATTCTTGTGCAGTGGTAAAAGAGGTCCTTGTCGAGTAGATGGATGGGAAAAGGAATAAAGAAATAAGAGTCCTTTTTCTTGGGTGCCATGATTATAACAAATAGGTGTTCCTTGGCAGCTTTACTTTCTTGCTAGGCACGTATGGCTATAGACAGTGTTGGTTAAAAACGTGTTCAAACGTGTCCTTTTTAAATACTTTTCTTTTTACCTTTGCGTTTTCTTTACATCAGATTTTACACCATGGGTCCATCATACCTTATAATTAACGACACAGACTAAAAAAAAAAAAAAAAAAAAAAAAACGCGTCCCATCAGTACATTACTCCTTCACACATAAAGCTGTTCTTTTATACTATACCTGGCAGTACAACGGCTGTAGATAATCATCGTAAAGGATGCGTAAAGACTTGAATAATGTGGCAGATAAAAAAAAAGAATAAACAAAAAGTTTTTTTTTTTGTAAATAAATTTTTATTAAGGGTATGATTTAATACAAATTTTTAAGTCACACATCGCGGAGTGGTGGAACTTGTTGAAACGAAAGATCGTGGATGGCATATAAGCTATAGAGTTAGTCTATGTTGGAAGGAGGATTGATAATCTTGTTGATTTGAAGAATAATTCTGGACACTGATTTGGGTAGGTTGGCAGCAGCAAAAGGTCGCGGATTGTCGGTACCATGAAGCCAGTAAAGGTTCCATATTTGCCAGAGGGTGGTAGAAAGTATGGAAAGATACCATTCTTCGTGTTGCACAGACAATGGATGTTTTAGATTGCAGATTGATTCATATAACATCGAAGGTGTAAATTCAAGATATGGGTAGTAGTGGGACAGTACCCGATGCCAAAGCTCTCGCTTGATGGGGCACTCCACCAAGAAATGTAGGATTGAGTCTTCGGCAGTACCACAGAAAGAGCATTGAGGGGAAGTGACGTTACCAAAATGTTTATACATCAGTTGTTTTGTAGGGATGCATTTAGAAAAAGCCCGATAGTAAACGGTACGTGCTTGTGGGTACATACGGCAGCTCCAAAATTGTTTAATATTCCGTATTGGGAAATTGTGAACGGTTTTATAGTGTTGTTGATAGTACCTGCGTAAGAAGGTAGGGTTAAATTGTCCCCAGAGTGGTTGAAGTCGCATTTGAGACACTAATTCGTGAGAGGACCATTCTTCGGGTAGTGTGGGAGCAGGTGCTGCAAGAATATGTGGCCATACAAACGCTTCAAGTTTAATGGTACGAGTACATATAATATCATTGGCCAGAGTTTGACACAGCCTTGGAAAGCGAGAGAATTCACTTGGGACTCTTATGCGCAGTCGTTGTTGGTGTTCATCAAATACCAAGAAAGTGCCGGCTGTAAAATTTCGATGTCTGAGTGACCAATGAGAACTATCTGGAACCTGAATGACCTTACGAAGTGGAAGAGCCAAAATAGTAGAAACAGGGACATTTATCATTTGGAATTTGGTTGAAGATTGAAAATAATCAAACGTATCGAAAATGACATGCCATATGGAAAACTTGTTCAAGACCGGGCTCTTTCGGAATTCAAAGTCATATAATGGGAGCAGTGGATATATCGATGCATTTTGGAAGTGGCTGAGGTGGTCAAGCATGATAGGGAACACAAAAGATGGGTACACGGTAGGTGCTAACAAATAGTTCAACCATCGTTTTTGGAGGACTTTGTGTTGGATGACTGGATCTAGTACTTTGAGACCACCAACCTCATGTGGTAAAAACAGTATTTCCAAACGGAGACTGGGTTTTTTCTTTTGCCATATAAATTGGTAGATTGTGGATCGAATATCTTTAAAGAATTGTTTAGTCGGATTGAAAAGACGTAGACAGTACCATATTTTAGATAGTAGTAGGATATTTGCGATAGTAACTCGACCCTGTATGGACAGCTGTCGTTGAGAAAAAACGTAGCTTTGGTGTCGAATACTAGTCAGTAGTTTACTCTCCAGCGATTTTCGTTGTTGAGCTGAGTATGGCAGATAAAAACCAAGATATCTCAGTATCGAAAGTGAAGATTCGTGATAGTAGGTCGAAATGGCTCTAGAAGTTAGGAACGTTTCCCAATTGCTATCATGTTTACCATTGAGTGAGAAGGCTTCGGATTTGTCTTCGTTGAATTTGGCATTAGACACCCTAGCGTACTTATCCATACGGTACTCAAGGCCATCTAGTTCGAGCGCGTCTTTTACAATCACACAAACGTCATCTGCATATGCTAAACATTTGATAGGAGTACTGACAGTATTAATAGTTGAAGGCAGTTGAAAACCTGTAATACTATCATCTTGTAATATAGACAGGATGAACGGTTCAAGAGCTAAATTAAATAGTAGAGGTGATAGCGGGTCGCCTTGTCGTAAACCACGCTTTTGCGAAACTGCGTCAGTGAAATATCCATTGATGTTGACATATACAGTATTATCAAAAAACAGTCGGCGAATGCATGTAATGAATGACCTGGGGAATCCAAAGCGTTTAAGAACTCGACACAGGTATAGAGGGTGAACTCGATCATAGGCTTTTTCCTGATCAAGTAAGATCCCAACACCAAGGCAGTCGAATCCACGTGCTTGATCTAGGATCATGGACAGTGCTAGACCATTATCACCAATAAATCGTCCGGGTATAAAACCCGTTTGATAGGGATTGATAAACTTGTTCATCATACAACCTAACCTTTGAGCGAGTAGTCGTGTAAAAATTTTGGCGTCACAATTGATTAATGAAATTGGTCGCCAGTTCTTTAGTAGACATAGATCCCCTTTTTTTGGTAACAATCGAACTCGAATATCTTGCCAAGATGTTGGGAATACACCCTCCAAGGCTTGATTATATAAATCTGTGATTAGTCTTTCCAAAATGGGAATTTGAAATAGTACCGCAAGATAAGGATAACTAAGTCCATCTGCACCAGGACTACTTTGCTTTGTCAAACGTGAAGCTTGTTCTATTAAATCATCAATAGTAAACGGTTTCATAAGTTTTACAGCATCATTGGGGTCCAGTGTCGTTGAAAACTGAATATCGTCTAAATAATCTTGTATGGCGTCGTCACTGACTGGTTCGGCATCGTAGAGATGTTGATAGAACTGTCGGGCTGACGTTTTCATGTGGTCCGTATCGTTTGACACTGTTGGAGGGCTATCTGAACTAGACGAAGGAACTTGTATCCCAGACATATATTGTTGGGCGGTTCGAGTTTTATGTATAGCTTTCAAATATTTGGCAGATTTTTCACCTTTCTCCCGCCAAACCACACCAGCTTTTAATGCAGAGATGTCGACTAACTCTTGTTGTAGAGTTTCAATCATCTGATCAATTTTTGGTAGTAGTAACAGGAGCGTGGCTAGCGGTGGTTTAGATCTCAGTAGCCTATTTCGTTTACGCTCGAGAAGTTTCAATGATGATGCTCGCCAGGAGACATGTTTAATACCGAAAGATTTAATACATTGTTTCGTGACATCTTTGATTTTTTCCCACAAAAGTTGTGCATTATTCGTATTAGTGTCAGTTAATGTTTGCTCGATTTTGGTTGAAAGTAGGGCTTGGAACTTCGGGTTGGTTGCATAGGCTGGGTTACCACGCCATAAGCCAGGGCCCATTTTTGAGGTACCTACATTTAGTTGAAGCTGTAGAAGCGCATGATCTGACCATTTACTTTGAATATACTGAATGGTCGCATCTTTGATGTTATTCTTCAGTGTTAGGCCTAAGTATATATAGTCAATAGTCGACGTTGTACCGATTTGACGTTGGAAAGTAGGTAGGGTATGCATACTGTTATGAATCATACTGTTGTAGAACAGAGAATCAAGGTATGTAAGCCATTGTGCGGAGGTTTTAAACAATCCCTTTCGACTAGTTATATCGCGTGAAACATCATAATTAAAATCACCTGAAATAATCAGCTGATTGATATTAATAGTGTCCGTTAGAATATATAGCATGTCACAGACTGATTCAAAAAAACTTCGGCGAGCCGGGTTTGAATCCGCTGGTGCGTAAATGTTGAGAATGTAAAAAGGATCGTAGAAGTTGTGGGGGTGATGCACTTTGCACAAAATAAAACGATCCGACGAGAATATATGATCAGTGGAAATCTGATTCAAAATAAAATCAGGAGAGAATGATATAATACCACAGTGGTGAGTCCAAAAGGTTTGTTGGGCTTGGAACTGGATATCAAGGGAAGGAATAGTAGAAGGAGAGGCATGGGTTTCTTGTAAAGATAGAATATCAAGTTGTTGAAGACGAAGATAACGGATATAAGACGACTGTACTGTTGAAGATTGTGTCTTCACTAAACTGTTACAGTTTAGTGTTGCATAATTAAAATTGATTTTTTTCCCCATTAAAGATTATTATTATCTTTAGGAGAAGGCTCTGACTCTACTTGGATATTGGAGACAGAACCCACAAATGTCTTAAATGTTTTAAAAGTTCCCTGAGTAGCGTTCTGAGACTTGCTACTTATGTCTGAGTGGATCGTATGCATACTGGTGTCCGTCCCATACTCATCCTCATCCTCATCATCCTCGATACTCGATTGTGTATCCTTAATTTCGTCATTAGGGTTATAGTCGAAGTCATCCATGTCACTATCGCTACATAGTTGTTCGTCTAAGATGGTCCTTTTTTCCACTTCGAAATTTTCACCTAATGTCAAATCGATCTGTTCTACAGGTACGTGCTTCTTGTGATGACCGGTCGCACTAATTGGCGTCTCTATTGAGGGTGCCCATTTAGATTTCATTAATTCCTCAGAAGCATCCGGTTTAGCAACTTCATTTTGGGATTGATCTTTGTAGGTCTTTCTAGGTTTCTTAAACTGATTGGGTCTCTTTTTTTTAGACTTAGGGTCAGGACAATCAGCTGCACGGTGGCCATATTTATCACAAGAGTAGCACAAAATACCAGCAGACGCTTTTTGACATTCATACTTGGTATGGCCTTCAGAGTGACAGTATCGGCACCAAGTAGGCATATCCGGGAAGGTCGCATAACAGTATTCCTCTTCGTTCCAATTAATTGTATGCTGGAGAGTGGCATACGATTGTCCTGTAACTTGCTGAATAATCGCATACCCGGTACCCAAAAACCATCCTTCAGTGGATGAATATCGGAGGCCAATATCAATGACCGTGCCAAATGATACTAAAGCTTTACGTAAACCTTCCAGTATTTCGGGTTCAGGTAATAAAGGAATCTCAGAAAGGCTTAGTTGGATTACCTTTCCATCGCCTTCTATGGCAGGGCATGGAAGGAGTCGGGTTTTCAATTTCTCGTAGTAAACACCTTCAGCTGTGAATTTTGTTAAAATCTCGTTAGAGGGGTAGATCTCTATATATCGCTCAGAGCTTTTGCCTAAAAATTTGATCCCATAGAAATTTTTTGCCCCGGAGTACTGGTGGGCAATGGTAGTGAGATGTTCAACGTCCGAGATCGTTGGAACTTTCGAGATGTCGAGTAAAAAACCTTGGCGAGATCTCGCATGTCGCCAAATGCTTGTCCTAATTGTCTTTTCGGTGTCAACCGTTCCTGTGATATCGTTACTGACAGATGTGTCTAAATCGATAAGAGACTTTTTGGTGGTAGGGAGGCGTTTAGTTACTGCATCCCTGTATGAAATTCCAATTTGGGAACCCGGCGGGGGTTGTTTTTGTTTTTTAGCGGAAAGAGCCATGAATAAACAAAAAGGAAAAAAAGGGGGGAGTAGATGACGTGTGCGGAGATTTGAGGCTGGCCTTTGATTTTGCGTGCGTCCGTGCGCCCGTGCGCATACACCACCTTCCATATATATTATTTCATTACTTGTTTCGTTTGTTTTTTCTTTACATACAGACACGTCCCCCATACACCATTTTATCAGTCATAGAGATTATGTTGACCTTTTCATTTTATTGCCCTTTAGATATATCAAGTAGAAAAATAAAAATAAAAAAAAGAAGACTTACACTTGACATTTTATACACCTGTCCTTTGTTCCTTACAAAGACTTATTATATCCTATACCTTTACTTTAGTGTCAACTTTTTTTATATATTAAAAAAAGACAGGCTCTTGTTCCTGTTAACCTTCATTTAAAATACATTTTACGCTTCGTGTTTAACGCCAATACGCTTTCATCCTATTTATCATGACTTACACTACAGTAGCATGCGTTCATCTTTACAAATTGCACCAAGACCTACATTAAAAAGATCAGCTTCTCGGTCATTTTTTGATGCACTTTTTTACTGCTAACGTTGTTTCCTTTACTTTACCCCATTGAATCTTTTTTTGCTTGTGCATTATTATACTTTACTTATGCATCATCCTTCTGTGTAAACAAAATGAATCTATCAGTACTGTTTAAAGTGAACCCCCTTCATAAAGAAGCTACTTTATTTGGCCATCCACCAATGCACTTACCATGAACAGGCCTCCATGATACAATTTCCCTTTTTATTTTCTTGTTTAGCTTGACTCATTTATAAAGACGCTCGGGGGTTCGTGTTCCTTGTCTATCACTTCACTTTGTCTTTGCTGTATTTAATTACTTTACCCACTCTGATGACTCTATACATGGAAAAAGAATCTTGGACTCATTCCTTCTCAAGAGTCTGGAAACTAGACTAGAACGACTCAACTAGTTAGTCTTTTACACTACATTACGACCTTTTTGTTGTACATTACCTTGTAAACAACCGTGACTCTTGTTCTTGATAAGAAAGGGAAAAAAATAGGGAAAAAAAAGAGCCCAGTCTTTTGTAACTGCTATTCTTTTGTGTCACCATTAGAATCAATCAAACAATGCAACTTTTAAAAACGTAAAAGAATGTAATTCATTTTATTCCGCAACAATTTTTTTTTATTTTAAGTACAATTACAAAGCTTTTTTTCGTCTAAAATCAATGAACTGCAAATCGCCAGTGCACTTAAGCATTTGTGGATTTAGCTTCATACATCGTAATTCATTTGTTAGAGATCTATCCTTTTGAATAAAGGCTATAATGTCCGCGAATTCGGCCTCATTTAATTCACGCATGAAATTGGTGGTATATAAAGCAGCAATGGCAAACGCGCCATGTTTAAAATAGTACAAAAGATTATTGAATCTATTGCCCACGTTCTTTAAGAGCTTGATCTTGTTGGTAGTGTAGTTTTGCTCTATTATATACATTAGTTTAGATATCTTTTTCTTTAAAATAAGAATTATTTACCCTTTAAAACTTCTATGAATTTGGCAATAAAGCCGGGATAATCTTTTTTTAACATTTCTGCAAAGCAGAAAAAACGGTAACATCCCGAGTATTGGATAGTGAGACCACAATTGCCGAAGGTGATGCCGTTATCATAATATTTGCTCAATGCAGTAGCAAATGCTTCAATTTCGGATTGCTCTGTATTTTCAGTCAACTGTGGAGCCACAGGAATCACTATGCGCATCAACCCGTTTTCCGTGGTCATAGTGTGGATGTTTTTTAAACATCTCCAAATCAGGGAGAATGCTCTTTTTTTGCTTGACCACTGGGGCTTCTTTAGTCTTAGTAGCATTATTTGATTCCTGCACACCCGAATCATTGTCATCGTTCGAACAGTCATCAGAACAGCCAGCCTCATCGTCAATGTAAGGGTTCTTGCTGGGTTTTTTTTTGTTTTTTAGAACCACTGGCACTTGCCTCTTCTACTCTCCACTCTTTTCTTGGGGGTGGCCATCGGTCTTTCTTCGACGGGTAATACCGTAGATTGACCTGATTATGTACATGTTAAGGTTCATGTATAAATATATATTTTTTTAAAAGGATAAAAAAGAAAAAATGTATATACCACCTCTGTTCGGTCACGCCGGACAGTAAATGTCCGGTGGAAGTGGATCACTTTATACCCATTTATTAGGCTCATTTGTGGATCACTTAATACTTAGTTTTTAGGCTCATGTATAGTGTATTTTTGGATCACTTAATACCTATTTTTTAGGCCTATGAACCGGAAATGTCTAGACCTCCGTATTTTTTTCAAACGTATTTTTTTTGTACCACTTACAGGAATTCTGGCCAGAAGACCAGCAGACCAGTATGATTGCACCTATTTACAGTCCAATCCCAGCTATTCACGGTTCGTGAGTTCCAAAAACTCAAGAACTCTGCTTAGGAGGTCGCCCTCCTATTGCAAAGACTAGCCGCAGCCGCAATATCACAATTATATATCTTTTTCGATTTAGCTTCTTTTCAAAGAAACAAGAGTCACTACTAAACTAACCTTTTTATGTGATCTGTTACTTTCATACGATAAAAGAAGTATGTTAAGGAAAAAGAAAAGGAGAAGAACAAAGTGTGTGAACCAGCTTTATTTATTGATAAACAAGCTTATGTCAGGATGATTTCATTTGTCTATTTTATCATCCATAATATTTGAGCCTTTACTTAAAATAGAAACAGTTGCAAAAACCTACCAAGCAAGTCAGAGCTTGGTAATTGTCTATCTGCATTCCAGTAGTAGCTTGTAATGGCAGCAAAGCAGATTTTATGGAAAACAGAAAACGATCATCCAATGAAGTTTAGATGATATGGCATGTCAATCGACGTGTAGACCATCACGTTTGAAAAAGTACGTTTGAAAAAATACGTTTGAAAAAATACGTTTGAAAAAAATACGGAGTTCTAGACATTTCCCTATGAACCAGGTCCGAATAATTGTTTGAGGAGGGACGGGGGGGGGATTTAGGTACCATTTTGCTTTTTCCAATTTACAATTTACAACGATTATATAAATGAACAATCAAGAAAGTATTGCTGAAGTCGAGTGTCTCATTGTTCCTAAAAGAGTGGAAGTAGGCCCAAGAAATCCTTTGATCGAGACACTCTTCATAAAATTGAACCAGTCAAAGAATGAAGTATCACTTGAGGAAGTTGATGTCGAAGATGTTGATGACACATTAATTAAAGACAAGTTGACATGTGGTAAATGCCATAAGACGTTCAACTCGAGATCATCCCTGATCAAGCACTTGAAGGTCAAACACCATATTGTAATCGTTGGTGTCAAGCATGGGCGTCCGGAAGGCCTGCATACTATATTCGCCAGCAGCAAAAGAAGGCCGATAGAAATTCCGTTTTGAGAGTCGACGAAAAAAAACTTAAGAAGCAAATTGGGAAACAAATCAGTTATGAGGCGGTAAAAGCCAAGAAGAGAGCTGAGTGGGCTATGTTGGAGATTAAGGACCTTCTTGAAAACCTTAAGGTTTTATGGGATACGTCTGATGGTGTATGGAGACCAGATTTTGCCTATGTACAATATATTGAAGATGTCTCTCCCATTTACCAATATCTCATCACCAAATTATGTTTGGAAGATTCATATGGATTGAGGGTAACTATTTCTTTGAGTATTCTGGAAATGATGTTCGAACGTTTTCCCGGAGTGATCGAGCAAAATTTTAACAGGGAAATTGTCCTGGAAGCTCTGACGCCCTTGAAGTTTAATCAAAGCAATGATAAAGAGCAGGATAGTGTTCGTACGAATTTGGACTTTGCCAAAGCATATTGTGCAGAGATGAAAAAATTGCTGGAAGATCGTCGAATCTGCAAGGACATTACCCGAGCCAGACTTGATATCATGCACAAACTATGTTTTATGATACAAGTTGACTTTGGGGCTTATGATTTTGATTTTAATATCGTAAAAGTTCGATCCGGTCTTTTCTGTTCTTTGTTTGCTTCCGCCTCATTTGATTTTCAATAAATAATTAAACACTGTTTGTTCCTGAACCCATATCCTTAACTAGTTCATTAATCAAATGATTTTCAACATAGCTGCAAGCAACACCATATAAGTAACGGCTTATATATAACCAAAGCGGTTTAACGTACAACTGAAAAAGATATTAGTCATAAAAAAAAGTATACAATTATTGCATATTGTATTCTTGCTTGTTTCAGATATGCCTTTTAAAATTTTTTTATTCATTTATTACGACCGTGTTTTCATCTATTTTGTAACAAAACAAGCGATTAGTTTAGATTTAGAAGTAAGTTAAAAACATGTAACTATATTACCTGTCTGCTCAGACGGAATATATTTCTTGAAGGTCAAGTGTTTGTTCCAAAAGGACTTGACCTTGTCATCTTGGTGACCCAAGCGTTCCATGGCTTCATGGTGTAAGAAGTTGACCCAAGGCCAGCCCACCTTGATGGACCTCTTCATGTTAAAGGTGACCCAGTGGTTGCCACCAACATTTTGTAAAACGATCGGCAAAGGTGCCGGACCAGGGGGAGGTCTCACGTTTTCATTCTGAAAGACTGGCAGAAACGCTCATCCGTGTCCTTCATACATAGCACCAGGATAAATGGCGACAGGCCTTTGAAATGTGTCTGCAGCTAATTGAGCACATTCTGGTGATCGAAGCCATTTATCCTTGCCAACAACACCATTCTTAAAAGCGTCTGTAAATACAACATTCATAAATGGTAAGAAAATGAGTTATTCTGAGCCTAGTTATGAATACATTACCCTCCTTGTTTTGCTTGGAACCACTGATTTGACGCCAAGGAGAAAAGCTTTTTTCTTTAGGAGGACGGTATTATAAAATGGATGTTCCGTAGAGTTTAAAAAAGACGTGGGTTGATTGAGTTTAAAGTGAGCACCAAATCAATTAATAGGTTTTGATTAGACCTTTGTTATCGTATTGTTATTAAGGGAAAGAGAAAGGAACAATCAAGAGTTCGTAAAAGAATCAATGATTATATTGTATGAATTATTAAATTAACAAGAAGCTTTTATCAAGACTGATTTAAGTATGTAATGGTACTTCAAAAGAGAGTTGTTTTACTATACAGGGTCTTAATTACGTTATGATGGTTCCGGTTAAGGATGTTTCTTAACGAATTTTAATAAAAGTAAATGATTTTGTTTGACGGAGTAAAGTGTGTACTGTTTCTGATTATGAAAAATAATAGGAGGTGTTCACACAAGGTCAGAGATATATAGAATGGTTCTAGATAAGGATGTTTTCTTATATATTTATACAAAAGAGAAAGTAGATATAGAAGAGTTTTTATTGAGACTGTTTAAAGTACATATGTTACTATTCAAAAAGAAAGTTGTTTACTGTACAGGATCTCGAGATTTACTGAATGGTTCTTATGAATTAAGATGTTTTCAAGTAAGTCTTTATAAAAAAAGAAGAATAAAAGAAAAAAGAAAGAATAAAAATAAAGAAAAAAGAAAAAGAAAAGGAAATAAGAGCAAATATGGCTCGGTTGAAGTAAGTTTTGTGAGAGTAAAATATGTCTGAAGTTTATTAAAAAAAAAAGAAAGGGGTTATTTATAGTTATTTCTAAGAATGGTGTAACCATCATACTTTGAAAGCTCTTAATTAATATCTATGTGTGGTTAAAACGTTTTCTTACAACGGCCAACTTTAGAGATCATCTCACTTTTTGGTAACGCAACTAAGCTGTCAATGCTTCTTGAATTTTTAACAAACTCCCGGTGATCCTCCAGCGTCTTCTTCAAGAAATCACCGAGAGCATTTGACTCAGTGACTGACTGACAATTACGGTGTTGGAGTTCAGCTTCCACCAAAATGCTGCTAAATTTGTCAGTTTTGTTGACTTTGTCTTCGATGAAACTCAATTCTTTGATTATCGCCGGTATCTGGAATATTGACAACAGGAGTGTTGGAAGCCATGTTGGTGTTATACGCAGTAGCATTTTTTAGCAACCACCGACTGCTGATATCCCCAACAGCCAGAACCTTGTCACCCATTCTTACAATTTCGTGTTTACACGGCAAATCATAAATTATACGGTCACTTCAAGAGCAATTATTGTTCATACATGCAAGTTTCTTGTCATTCGACATCATTCCAGCCTTTAACATGGACTTTTGGATGGTAAGTAAAGCCCTTGCAGAGACCTTACCTACCAATTTGACATGTCGGACGTTGTTGCGAATCATACCATCGACATAACAGCCTTCTTTGATTCCTGTCATTTTTTGTTTAATAATTTGTCGGTTGACATATTTGTCTACTTCGTCAAATGATGAGAGCAGGTCCAATCTTGTCGACATAGATCCACTTTTTAAGGCACTAGGAGTGCCTTCAACTCGTTGACTGGTAGTACAGCCAAAATGGTTGTACATTCGGGTGATATAACCGGCCCATTTATCCTTGCAGACTAACCAGTTACTTTCAAGATATACTTGGGCCTTTTGGGACGAGCAATCTTGTAACAAAGAATTGTTCGTAGCAATTACTTTGTATTTTCTGCAGGCGTCGTTGAATTCGTCTTCGGTGTATGAAACAATCATTTCTCGAATCAGCTGAATGCATTTTTGCTTGTCTTCAGATTTGATGAAGATATGACTTAATTCCTTGTTAAAGTTTAGATTCATATGCCAGGTGCAAAGCATAGTTTTGCTGTTAGGAAAGACATGATCAATAGCATTCATCAAAGCCGAGTAC